AAAAGCAACGGTCTTAAAAAATATAAAAATAAATGCGAGGCAGTGTCAAATTTACACTCGGCGTAATTAAAATAGCACATATTTATGAACTTTCAACCGAAAAATAGAAAATAAATAACACGTCCACATGCGTCCGATGGCGGGGAACGGGGAGGGCGGATGGCACCGTCACCTTCCAATAAATAGCGCGCTCCATCGGCCTCGAACGGGGTTCGCTCTACGCTCCTCGGCCGCTCTCTCGTTAAATATCAAATTTCCATAAAACATTTATAAATTGCATCGAGTTCTCGCGCGTATTGAAAAAAACCAGCAGAAACCTACGCTAATTTCTTAATAAATTAGGCACCAGTTTCATCTCGGACTTGCCGACGGAACATGAGCTCCAGCCTCCCGCACTCGGAGGAAAACAGGGAGAAAGTGCCTCAAAAACTGTGTCTCGCTGTAGTCAGCCCGGCGTCTGTCTCGTGTCGCAGTGACAGCCGTGAGCAGGACAGGCCGGAGGGGGTCCCCTCGGCCTCGGGGGAGCTGAGGGTAACAGCTCAGGACAGCAGTGCGAAGGCTGGGACCATCCTGCCGCCCCGGCCGGGGGACGGAGGGGCGGCCGTGAGCTCAGACGCCGGCCCCAATGGTGGCCGGCCGCTTCCCGTTCACACGTGCTGGTGTCCGAGGACACACAGCCGCCCAGCCACGGCCGAAGCTCGTCTGCAGTGGAGGGAGCCACGAGGGGACCCTAGCAACACCTACAACGAAAGGACAGCCCCGTCCCCTCCGCGAGGCCCGGCCCCTCCATCCAAGCAATTCTGAGCGGCCGAGCGTCCCCCAAGTACGCACGACACAGACACGTCATAAAATACATCCGTTTAAAAGACCTGCGGTTTCCCCAAACCCCCCGGCGAGAGACGGCGTGAAGCTGTTTCACAACCGTATGACGGGAGGAAAAAAAAAAAAAGTGACATCGTGAGGAAGAGACCAGGCCAGCGACAGCCGAGCGGGGGAAGCACCGAGTTCGTGTCACGCGGGTGGCCGTGTCCTCACGGTGCCCTTGGACGCGGCTGCGGGAAGCCAGTGCGTGTGGTGGCTCGACCCCCCTGGCCGACTGGGCACACGCCTGCCAGGACGGCGGCCCGCCGTCCCCGGGCACGGCACGTGTCACGAAGGTCCCTGTCCAGCTGGCTTTCCAGGTGACGGCTCCCCCCACCGGGGCCCACACACTCTCCGAAACGCCGTTTGGAAAATAACGTTGCAAAAAGTTCTCGTTCTGAGCCGAAAGCGCCAACGGCAGCCAAAATGTGCCTGCTCCGTCCATTTAATTTCTTCCAGCCTCTGGGAAAATGTGCCAGGAAAGGTACACATGACGCCCTGGCCGTCTGAATTCTGTAAACCAGAGCCACACACACAGCACGGCCGAAGCCCCCGCATCCCACTGCCGCCTGACAGACAGCGGGGGAGGAGGGTGGGGGCCGGGCTGGTCCGCTCGGAGCAGGCTGATGACCCCCCTCCCGCCCTCCTGGGACTGCTGGGGCAAACGGGGCACCCTGCTCTGTCACCTGCACGTCTCTCCAGGGACGCAGGCACCACCAGCCCCTCCGCACAGCCTGCCACCGGCGCCGTTCACTCCGTTTGTTCTGTTTCGGGGGTCCGGGAACACCTGGTTCGCTTTCCATGTTAAACACAACAAGAAAGCAAAGCTTCAGTGACACCCCGCCCCCACGCCACAGGCCTCGGGCCAGCGGCCTCCAGCTGACAGCCGCCAGCTCTGTTTTAAAAATCCAGCTTCTGGCTGGACCAGGCCTCGGCATGCAGCGACTTCTCTTTGGGGGACGGGGTGGTGACACAGAGCTATGCTTGGACAAAAACCATCATAAACCTTTTGGAAAAAATAAAACAGGGATGTCCACATTCCACCTCCAGCTTTAGCCAAGAGTTAAATGTGAGGACGAATGCGGCTCGTCGTAAAGGGTTCCAAACGTATTTTCCTTTCTCCGTGAGAAACCAACTTCTCGCTTTATACAGGAAAGTCATTCTTTTTGACTCAGTTATTGAAAAAGCAAAACCGTACGGAGGAGACCAACCCTTACGCTGCCGTTCACGGCCGAAAAAAACAGTTGCAAGTGATTCTGAAATTCGGACCCTGCTTTCCTCATCTGCCACTTTAGAGCTGGACTAAAATTTCAACCAAAAAAAAAGTCGAAGGGCCCCTTTGATTTGTATAAAGAGTTTCAGGTGATACAAATGAGACGTGTCCGAATGGATCTATGTTTCAGCTCAGAGAAAAGATAGAACGTGTTTCCTCACACAGAAGGGGCTTTTTTCCCCTTGGAGACATGAACGAACATCAGGGTGCGGTGGGG